GTTGCATGTTTGTTTCATGTTACATGTTTGTCACATGTTGCATGTTTGTTTCATGTTACATGTTGGTCACATTCATTCAACCTTTACTTCTACAGGTTAGTCCCATTGAGCCTCAGGGACTCATTTACAAGAGAGACATGAAGTTAATTAGTATTGTGACTGTGCAGGACACCAAGAACCTGAGCCCACAGGTAAACAGTGAGTGTGACCTCTGACCTTTGGGAGGCTGCAGCAGTCTGGAATTCTGGAACAGGTGTCTCTTCTGGACTGGAAGGATTACCGTCTCTTTCAGCTCCGTGATCACCTCGTCCAGACCGGCGATGTCCCTCCAAGTGATCTAAGCACGTCCAGATCAGAGGTTAAACATTGCTCTTCATCATCAGCAGCAGCAGCAGCTGTGTATGTGAGGAAGACGAGGAGTCACCTGCATACTGAGCGGGTCCACAAGGTGAGCTGCGATGCTCATCTCGTACTCAGACAGTTTGACGTTCTTTACCCCGATCTGACGCATCAACTTCTCTGCCTGTTCAACACAAACCAGACGGGCTCAGAGGCCGGACCGGCAGAAGCAGAACACCAAGGAACCCTCCTCTCACCTGCTTCTGAGCCTCCACCTTCTGCTTCCTGGTGGGGTCGATGGCGTCCACCATCCACTTGATGGTGAAGTAGGTGACAGCTCCAAATATGGTCAGGCGGAACAGCAGCCCGATTACCTCATTCCTGCCCAGGGGGCGGGCCAGGTTCTCTGCAGGAACCTCCTTCAGAACCATTGTCACACTCACTGATTTATGAGGTGCACACGCACACACACACCTGTAAATGCAAAGTAATGCTATTTCTAGGGTCAGTTAAGGTTTGAAATAATTTATATTTTTTCTGACAATCATGTTTTTTTGTTTGTTTTGTTTAATGCATTAAAAACAGATGTTCAGATTCTGAGAGGGTGGTGTAGTGGTTAGAGCTTTCGCCTCACAGAGGGTCACAGGTTCCCCTCCTGCCTGGGGTCTTTCTGGTTGGAGTTTGCATGTTCTCGCGGGGTTTCTTGTTGGTGTTAGGTTCATTGTTGGTGTGGTGAGGGGGTGAATGGTTGTCTCGTTTGTCTCCATGTGTCCCTGCGCTAGGCTGATGTCCTGTCCAAGGTGTCCCCAGCTCCCTGTGAGCCTACCTGGAGCAGCAGCTCAAAGAAAATGAATGAAAGGAATTTCTGGTTTGACAGAAAAACTAAGAGATCATCAAATATTTGCACTGAATTAAAAATACTTAAAATGGTAATTGTTTCCACTGAGTTTGATGAGAACCAGAACCTCTCCAGACCGGAACCTGAACCAGGTACTGTTGGACCAAGTCAGGCTTGTGGTTTTGATCAGACCAACAACAGATGGCATAACTAAAACCACTCAGATTTTGAACGGCGTTTGATGGAAGATGTGAAAGGTCACATTTTTCACTAAATAATGTCAAATGTACATGAACCATGTGTTTGTTAGATGTTTTGTCTGGACAGAGTGGAGCTTGTCACCAGATAAACTCAAGGCCCTCTGCAAGGCAGCACCTCTGATAACATTATAAAAAGACACTTCTTTATGCTCTCTTTGAGCAGACTGTTTTTGCAAACTCTTTGATGCTCTCTTTGAGACGACTCTCTTTGAGCAGACTCTCTTTGAGACGACTCTCTTTGAGCAGGACTCTCTTTGAGACG